GTGTATGTGTGTGTGTTGGTGTGTATGTGTATGAGTGTGTTGGTGTGTATGTGTGTGTGTGTTGGTGTGTATGTGTGTGTGTTGGTGTGTATGTGCGTGTGTGTTGGTGTGTATGTGTGTTGGTGTGTATATGTGCATGTGTGTTGGTGTGTATGTGTGTGTATGTGTGTGTTGGTGTGTATGTGTGTGTTGGTGTGTGTTGGTGTGTGTGTGTTGGTGTGTGTGTGTGTGTTGGTGTGTATGTGTGTGTGTTGGTGTGTATGTGTGTGTATGCGTGTGTTGGTGTGTATGTGTGTGTGTGTGTTGGTGTGTATATGTGTGTGTGTGTATGTGTGTATATGTGTGTGTGTGTTGGTGTACATGGAGGTCAGGGTCAATGTCAACTGTCTTCCTCAGTCACTTCTCCACCTTATTTTCTTTTAAGTTAAAGACTTATTTATCATCTCACATGTATACCTGTGTGCACCAAGTGTGTCAAGTGCCCGAGGAAGGCAGGAAGAGGGATTAGGTCTCTAGAACTAGAGTTACAAGCAACTCTGAGTCTGCCTGATCACTCCCCTCACACACCTTCCCCAGCCCGACCAACCTGCCTAGACCAGCAGCCCCGCCCCCAGCACGTCCAGCCAGCCAGATCTACACACTCCAGGCTTGGACCAGGACACACATCCGGCACACCAGCCCAGGCCCCTCCGTCCTGACTTCATTCCACCTAAGCCATTTTTGATCCGATGGCCCAACCCACCCATGCAGCCTGTCTTCCACCCCAGCCTGCTCTGTCCATGTCAGACGGAGAACTAACAAATAAGTACTCATGCACAGATCTCATTGCTGCCAATGAGAATTACCTAGATGGACTCCAGAACACGGAATTTAAAAGAACAATCATAAACCTCATCAAAGAATTCAAGCAGTTAAAAAAAAGTAAGAAACAACTCAATGAAATTAAGAAAAAGAGCTTAGACTAAATAAGCAAGGAATACCTAAATAAATAATGAAAATAAATAAGCAATGGAAAGTTAACCCAAAAAACCTACAGGAAAGGGACATACAGGAAATGTGGAACACCATGATAGGCATCGATGAGGGGCAAGATTCTCAAGTCAATGGCGTAGACCTTATCTTCAACATGATCATAGAACTTCCCCAAACTAGGAAAGACATATCCCTCCAAATACAAGAAGCATACAGAACACCAAAGAGACAAGACCAGAAAAGAAAATCCCCACAGCATGTCATAGTTAAAATGCTAAGTATACAAAGAAAGTATACTGTGAGCTGTAAGAGAAAAACACACACACACACACACACACACACACACACACACACACACACACACAAAAGTCACGTATAAAGGAAAGCCCATCAGAGTAATGGCTGCTTTCTCAATGGAAACTTAGAAAATGAGCAGGGCCTGGAGCAATGCCCTCCAAGTCCTAAAAGGCCACAAGGGCCAACCTAGGCTAATATACCCAGCAAAACTATCTGCCATAGTTGGAGGAGAGAGAAGAACTTTCCATGATATAAACAGCCTAATAAAATGATGGCTCAGCAGTCAA